ACAGGAAAGTTCTGCTGTGCCAGACTGGGAGAGGAGCACAGTTCAGCCTGGGCTGTGCTAGCAAAGACCAGGGCCCAGCAAACCTGGAGCAGGCCTCAGGGAACTGAAACAATGGGAGCTGTGGCAGTTTCCAGACTTCTCAACCCACAAATGACAAAGACAACTTAGAAGGCCAGTGCAAAGATCTGTTGGGTCTAGGTGAGAGAGGAGCATGTTTCAGCCCTGGCCCTAGTGCAGCCCCAGGGCAGCGGCCACAGCATCAGTGTCTGCTTTCAGAGCTTTTGGCCTACAGATAGTGGGAAGATTGAGTGTCTGACCAGAGGGGGATAGCAGGGATCTCTTTTCTGCTGCTGAGGCAAGATTGCTTTACCTGTGCTTAGGTTTGGGTCTCAGTCCTGGGTGGCAGTCCTGGGGTGAAGAGGAGCACCGGCATAGCAGAGCTTGTGGCATCAGTAGAGAGGGAACCCTTCACTCATTTCCAAGGCAGAAGAAAGTGCTTGTGGTCACTCTCAGACCAGAGCACAGACCAGGAGAGGAGTAAACACCTCTCCTTAGATCATACTGATGGGGTGCTTGGGTGGTTGTACTGGAACCCGAATTTCTTGACCATGTTTCTCCCTAGCCTTAGAAACACTATCTCTTGTAGTTTTTCACCAGCCCAAGACACTGTGCCTAGCAATTACTCATAAGTGGGCCCCAGCAAGACCCTTATCTCTCTCCCTGGTGCAGTAACAAAGAGCACCTGAAGGAATTATTAGTTTGAACTGGCTTTGTACTGGGTCATAAAGATATTCTTACTCACTGAACTATCTATACTACCTCCCTACTCCATTATCTACATCCTAGACTGTTCATTATCTGTATTCTAGACCTAAGACATATGTATACTCCCTATATCTATTTTGCCAAACAAGACATTGACTGGTGGCAGACTGGACAACTCTCAGTTACCCTTGACTGCTAGTTAACTTGGTGATGTAGCAGGCCTAGAAGCACACTTCTGTGTGGCCCCACTGGTGGGCTTTTCCTAGTGAACTCTGGGTAAAACACCTATGCAGTAGATAGAAAAAGTACATGTTCCTTTAAGAACTGACCACTCCTTATCCACTCCCTAATCTCTCCCTGAATTACCTAGTTAGCATATTTGGCACATGTTTTATTATATTTTATCCTATATAAACTTGAATTGTGCCCCTCTAAGGTCGTAGGTTCCTTAAGGATCCTTGCCTGCTATATAGTGTAACAATAAACTTTTTGCCAACTTGACTTAAAGAATACTTGAGTCTGTGAATTCATTCCAGATGACCCCAATCTTTGAGGGGTCTCAACCTCTCAGACCACAACAATAACAGCTTGGAAGAACTGAAAACTTACAATTCCCTAGAAATATCTCTGAAAACAGCTGCACAAAACCCCTGAAGCTTGGGACACTATACCCTCCACACTGGAAGCAGACCCTACCTTAACAAAGAGTTTAAAAGTCAAATAATTGGCTGGGAAGATGAGCAAACAGAGGGAAAAAATTCAGACAGTAGAATTTTACTTTGGTGATGAAGAAGATCAAAACATATGACCAGAAGAAGATAACAAAGTCAAAGCTATTGCATCTAAAGCCCCCAAGAAAAATATGAATTGGTCTCAGGCCATGGAAGAGCTCAAAAAGGATTTTGAAAAACAAGCAAAAGAAGCAAAGGAAAAATTGGAAAGAGAAATGTGAGTGATGGAAGAAAATCATGAAAAATGAGTCAACAGCTTGGTAAAGGCAACACAAAAAATGCTGAAGGAAATAACACCTTAATAAATAGGTTAACCCAAGTGGCAAAAGAGGTCCAGAAAGCCAATGAGGAGAAGGATGTCTTAAAAAATAGAATTCTCCACATGGAAAAGGAAGTCCAAAAGCTCACTGAGGAAAATAATGCCTTAAAAATTAAAATGGAACAAATAAAGCTAATGACTCTATGAGAAATCAAGAAATCATAAAAGAAAACCAAAAGAATGAAAAATAGAAGACAATGTGAAATACCTCATTGCAAAAACAACTGAGCTGGAAAACAGATCCAGGAGAGATAATTTAAAACTTATTGGACTACCTGAAAACCACAATAGAAAAAGAGAGCCTAGACATGATGTTTCAAGGAGTTATTAAGGATAACTGCCATGATATAACCAGAGGGTAAAATAGAAATTGAAAGGATCCACCAATTATCTTCGGAAAAAGATCTCAAAAGAAAAACTCTCAGGCATATTATAATCAAATTCCAGAGTTCCTAGGTCAAGGAGAAAATATTGGAAGCAGCCAGAAAGAAACAATTCAAGTGGTGTGGAAACACAATCAGGATAACATGAGATTTAGCAGCTTCACATTTAAGGATTGGAGAACTTGGAATATGATATCCTGGAGGTCTAAGGAACTAGGATTAAAACCAAGAATCACCTACCCAGCAAAACTGAGTGTAATCAATGAAGGGAAAAATTGATGTTCAATGATGTAGAGGAATTTAATACATTCTTGAGAAGCCAGAGCTAAATAGAAAATTTTACTTTCAAATACAAGACTCAAGAGAAGCATGAAAAGGTAAACAGGAAAGAGAAATCACAAGGGATTTATTAAAGTTGAACTATTTACATTCCTGCATGGAAAGATGATATTAGTAATTCATGAGACTTTTCTCATTATTAGGGCAGTAGGAGGGAATATATATACATAGACAGAAGGGCAGGGTAGGTTGAATATGAAGGGATGCTTTCTAAAAAATAAAATTAAGGGCTGAGAGAGAGGGATGTACTGGGAGAAGGAGAAAAGGAGAGGTAGAATGGGGTAAATTATCTCACATGAAAGAGGCAAGAAAAAGCTTTTACAGTGGAGAAACAGAGGTGGGAGTTGAGAAGGAATGAGTGAACTTTATTCTCATCAGATTTGGCTTAAGGAGGGAATAACATACACACTCAATTGAGTATGGAAAGCTATCTTACCCTACAGGAAAATATGGGGGGAAGGAGATCAGAGAGGGAGGGTTGTTAGAAGGGGCAGGAGACTTGGGGAGAGGGTAATCAGAAGCAAACACTTTTGAGGAGAGACAAGGACAAAGGAGAGAATAGAATAAATGGGGGGCAGGACAGAATGGAAGGAAATATAGTTAGTCTTGCATAACATGACTATTATGGAAGTGTTTTGCATGACTGCACATGTATAGCCCATGTCGAATTGCTTGCCATCTCAATGAGGGTGGGTGGGGAGGGAGGAGGGAAGAGAATTTGGAACTCAAAGTTTTAGAAACAAATGTTAGAAATTGTTTCTGCATGCAATTGAAATAAGATACACAGGCAAAGGGATATAGAAATCTACCTTACACTACAGCAAAACAGAAGAAGAAGATAAGAGAAGGGAGAGAGATAATAGAAGGGAGAACAGATTGAGTGAAGGGGGAATCAGAATGCAGGTCATCATGGAGGGGTGAGGGGAGGGATGGGGAGAATATTTGGAATGCAGAATCTTGCGGAAGTGAATCTTGAAAACTAAAAATAAATAAATAAATTGGAAAAAAAATTGGTAGGACTTCTTTCTAGCCCATTTTTCCAAATACTTTTTATGGTATTAGAATTATATAGTACTGGAATTAAGGCTTATGCTTCTTGTGCTATGGGTGCAAGTTCTTGCTACTGGCCTGTGCTGGGTGCCCACTGATGGCCTGTGTCATCAGTGGGGAGGTACATGGCCTTGCTGTTGGCCTATCTTGGGGCTTCTCTCATTGCTGGCTTGCTGGACTTTGACCAGCTGCTGGCTCACACAGATGCCACCTGCTCTTTTCCTTTTACTTGAGTTAGACTTTTACTACTGACTTTTAAAGCTGTCTTGGAGTGGGACATTGTTTAACCCCACCTTTGTATGGTTTCCTCCAGTTCCAGAATTCATTTTTAGGTGTTATTTTATACTAGTTTGGAGGTGAATTTGGGAGAGCTCAGGTGCGTTCCTGCCTAACTCTGGCATCTTGGCTCAGTCCTCTCCCCAGTTCACACTTTTAGATATTCATTTTTACTCTTGCAACCATGGATCAATTTAGAAGATTTTCTGTAACTAAAACCTCCCTTAGGCATTATTTGACATAAATTTCAGCTTTATCATCAAAGAATATTGGCCAAAAGAGAATTTTACCTGAGTCCATAGGCTTTAGTATATTAAATATCTAGGGGAAAGAGGAAATGGAAAGAGCCGGCAGAAAAGAAAGGTATGGAGATTAAAGGAAACAATTCATGTTGAAGAGAACAAAAGGGGACAATATGTAAAATGTTGGACTTCACAGTTCCATGTCATGAGAACACAAGGGCCTGTCTTTGATAGTGTAGAATCTCTAGGCCTTTAGCACTGATAATCAAGAAAACAATGTAGGGACTTTCATAAAGGTTGTAGAGAAGGCATTCTCCTGTGTGATGTTAGATTGATAAAGTGGTGCTGGGGACAAAAGGGCTGAGTGCTGTCCTGATAAACCATAAAATTTCATAGATGGAAGGAAATACGGAGGACACCAGGTTTAGTCCAATTGGTGAATCAACATCACTGGCAACACAAAATGTCAAGTCTTCACAAGCAGGCAGTTGGAGTTGAATTCTATAGTACAATTTGCTATTTCATAATAATTATTTCTTCAAGATTCCTCTATCTTGGGAGATGAGAGGCAAATATTGTTAACAACAATAACAATAACAACAGCAACAAAAATAATTATACCTAATATTTATATGGCACTTTAGGATCCACAAATCATTTTGCAATTCTCTCTTGTGATCTTCACAAAAATCCTGGAGGTAGGTATTATTATTTTCTCCATTTTACAAATGATGATTATGAGGCAAACTGAGGTTAAGTGAATTGCCCTTCTTCATATAGCTACTAAGTATCTCAGGCAGAATTTCTACTCAGATCTTCTAGACTGCAAGATCCAGAACTCCATCTGCTACATCACCTAACTGGATTTTTCCAGGATTTTATTGGACTGGAAGCTTTATTCTATCCCACAGAGCCAAAGAGTACTTAGGACCTGAGAGTCACTGACAATTAGGATAAAGGGGCTACAAGCTGGAAAGCAGGCAGCTAGGAAGACAGAGATGTGAACGAGCCAGGAAGTTGGCTTTCTCAAATGCATATACAATGCTAAAATGGAATTCAAGGAATAAAAAGATACAAACATGCTGACTAACAGCAGTATGGTTTGAGTGGCTCTGATCTCACGGGAGCTACCAGGTGTGAGATCATTGCCATGAATGTACTGGACTCTCTGGTGGTGTCTGTACAAGACAAAAACCATATAGCCACTGGTTCCCACCATAATTCCTACACATAAAACATCAGGAAGGGAGATTATGAATATATATAGTGTAATAGTAAATGAAATATCAGATATAGCAAAACAATAAATGAAATCGTGTCTTTCAGTGATGTTTACGATTCCTATTTGGCCTTTAAAATATAAAAAAATAAAACAATTTGTCAGCAGATGAAAAGCCCAGCACAAGAAACAGAATGAGATGATGCACTTTGGGATTCTGGCTCTGAGCTCTGCCCACCTGGAGCTTCTAGGACTTAAAGTGATGGCTTGGAAGCCACTCAGGAAGCAGGTGGTGCCGAGAGAAAGGCCCCGGGCCACTCGGTGAAGGTAAAACACAAATTTACATCCCACATCATCCAAGAAATTGTTGAACCCAAAAGCAGCCATTGTCTGAGGAATCCCTTTGGAGAGAAGCACCAAGTCATTGACAAAGGCCAAGTGGGAGAGAAGCAAGTCTATGGTCCTCAGCCTGGGACCAAGGAAAAAGGTGATGATATACAGGCCCAGGAGGAAGGAGTTCCCCAGGGCCCCAAATCCAATCTGAAACAGCAAAAGAAGCCCCAGTACCATGTCATTAGAAATCATTTTCTTTTTGTTGATGGGAAGCAAATAGCTGTCAAAACTGGTAAACTCTTGCTTGTTCAGAAATATAAGGGGTAGAAGATATTTCCTGAGATGAGGGAGGTGCTTCTTTTGTTCAGTACAAGTCACCACGAACCATTCATTTCATCTAAAGGGATATGATAAAAATATTTCTTTTAGTGTTGCCTGACCCTGGAGATGATAGTATTGATTAAAACATTTCTAATGTGTTGTTGTTTTTTGCCCTTTATTTCTAGAGATTCTTTTCTGAAACATTTAAGTTGGGTTCTTCTCTGGTGAGATAATTAGATTATATAATCCTTACAAGATGCTTGTAGATAACATAAACGGATAGAGACATGAGGATATAATTGCACAAGAAAAGGAGTGTCAAATGGGTAGCCTTGGGGATATAGCTCTGTGCTTTTGATGATCTTAAGATTTTCCAGGAAACAAAGATCAAACACCTCATTCTCGGTGCTTAAGAAACACTTTTAATGTTTTTAATATCAAAATAATTCTAGGGTGGCTATCTTCATATAAGTCCTGTAATACTGCAATATGGATAGAATTGAAATTGTGACTGATCAAAGTGTCAGTGGAGATGTTCATGTTGGAGAGGAAGAAATGACAACATGTTTGCAACAAAGAATAGCCTAAGACAAGAATTAACAACAATTTTATGAGATCCAAATACTCCTAAAGTATAAACTGATGTTATATAGTGAGAGTAAACATAAACAAATGGACACTCCACATGATACATGAGTACTTTGCAATGGATATGAAAATGAAGGAAAATGCAGAGCATACTGAGTGAATACTTCTATCATTTTTGGCAGAGCAAAGACACACACCTTCAAGGATGAGAAGACATCAGTTAACTGTCTTAGTTATATTTTCAGAGACGCAGATTGATTAGGTAATAAATCCATTGATCTGTTTGCAATAATCATTAAATTAATATCAATGAATGGGTCTATCTGAAGTAGGGATGAAAGAAAGTTTTGTGTTTGGTATATCCACTTGACTGTGGACTAGCTAGAATATAGCTTTTGAGTGAAATTAGTCTTGTAATGGAGAATGTGCCATGCAGGGGGTGGCTTCAATAAGTATGTATTAATTATCCTTAAATTGTAAATTAAGAAGAAAGCACACAGCAGGGGTGGCTGATATGCAAGAGAAATGATATGTGGTTTCTAAAACATCATAAGCTAGCTTTGAAAAAAAAATGTAGAAACCATTTTGCAGATATTTAATTGAATTTTGGAGACAATGTTTGTCATCAGAAATTTTAAGCTATAACTTTCCTCTATCTTGTTGCATTTATTCCTCTGTGTGCTTTCATGACATCGCTGGTGAGTGTTAATTAAAAACCTGAAGGAAGCTATGTGACTGCTTGTGGGCCTACATGGGCAAGCAAGCCACTATAAAAGTCCACAGTCAAGTGGATATACCAAACACAAAACTTTCTTTCATCCCTACTTCAGATAGACCCATTCATTGATATTGATTTAATGATCATTACAAACAGATCAATGGATTTATTACCTAATCAATTCGCATCTCTGAAAATATAACTAAGACGATTAACTGATGTCTTCTCATCCTTGAAGGTGTGTGTCTTTGCTGTACAGTAGGAAGAAGTGCTTATATGAACTTAAATTTCTGGGACCTCATACCTGTCTAAGTAATCTCTCTTTCATTCTCTCTCTGTCTCTCTCTCTCTCTCTCTCTCTCTGTCTCTCTCTCTCCCTCTCTCTTTCTCTCTCTCCTCTCTCTCCTCCTCTCCCTCTCTCTCCCTCTCTCTCTCTCTCTCTCTCTCTCCTCTCTCTCTCTCTCTCTCCCTCTCCCTCTCCTCTCCCTCTCTCTCTCTCTCTCTCTCTCTCTCTCTCTCCTCCCTCTCCTCTCCTCTCTCTCTCTCTCTCTCCCTCCCTCTCCCTCTCTCTCTCTCCCTCTCTCTCTCTCTCTCTCTCTCTCTCTCTCACTCTCTGTCCATCCGTCTCTCTCTGTCTCCCTCTGTTTTCTCTCTGCCTCTCATCATCATCATCGTCATCATCATCAATGTCCTACTCACTATGCGTATATATTCCCTACTGCTCTTTCCTGACCATGGTGACTCCTCTAGGATCCAGTCTCTCTGTACCAACTACAAGATTGTAAATCTTGGCGTGGATGTTCCATAGTAATGTCAACCTCAACATGTCTAGAAGAGAACATGTTGCATTCCCATGACCCCTTTATCCCATCTTGCAACTCCCCTGTTTGTGTAGAAAATGTCATTATTCTTCTTATTACCCAAGATTTAAATAGAGAAATCTTCCCCAATTCATCAAATTCTCTCATTCTCTTTATCTAATCATTTCCAACTGTTCTTCATTCTACTTTTAAAATTACTGAATCGTTCTCATCTTTGTATTTATAACAGAACAACCAAAGTTTTGGCCCTCATTATTCCTCACCTAAATAATTGTGATAGTCACTTCCCAATTGATAAATAGTCAAAGAATATGAATAGGCAATTTTCTAAAAGAAGAAATCCAAATGTCCATATGGCCAAATTCACATGGCCAAATCACTAATAATTAGAGAAATTTAAAATAACCATGTTGGTAAAAATGATGTTAAAAGAAAATTTCATTAGTTGAAGGAGCTATAGGGAAAGAGGCAGATTCATGTTGGTGGAATTATGAATTGGTACAGTCATTCTGAAAAGTAATTTGAAGCCACACCCTAAAAGTCACTGAATTCCATCTTTAAACTTCCTCTCTACCTCTTTGCAAATAGTTTTCCCAACCTGGAGATGCCTCCACCATGAAACTCACTCTCCTCTATTATGATTTCAATTGAAACTCTTGTTTAATATTTCACAAAATTAAAGTACCTTCACTCAGTTTTACACTCAGAAGACTCTACTACAGGTTATGCACAAATAGTCCACGAGAATATTTAGAATGGTAAAGTCTCTAGATTTGTGCATCTCCCATTTGTTGGGAGCTACAGAAATTCAGCTTTGCTCATAGATTCAGCCAGTCCTATGCCAGCATCTCCCATGTCAGACAGTACTAAAGTTCTCAAGAGAGACCCTGAAAATGTCCTTGTATTGCTTCTTTTGACCTCTCTGTGAGTATCTGCCTTGAGTGAGTTCTCCTTAAAATAGCTTCTTAGATAAATGCATATTTAGCACATGGACTAAATGGCCAGCCCATCAGAATGGTGCTGTCCAAAGCAGAGTTTGAATGCTTGATAGTTCATCTCAAGATACCTCAGTGTCCAGTACTTTGTCTTGCCAAGTAATCTTCTGAATCTTACAAAGACAATTCAAACGGAAGCAGTACAGTTTTCTGGTATGTCACTAGTAGATTGTTTAGGTTTCACTGACATACAAAAATTTAGTCAGTACAAAGGTTCTAGAGCCCTTCAAGTTGGTAGGCAGACTAATACCTCTTCTCTCCCACACTTTTTCTTGGAGTTTTCCAAATGATGAAATAGCTCTGGCAATGCATGCATCAACTTCATCATCTATATGTATACCCTAGAAAGTGTACTGCCAAGGTAAGTGAACTCATCCGCAGCATTCAAAATTTCTCCATTTGTTGTAACCAAATAAATGAATGGTGCAGTGCTCTCGGTGGAGAGCCTCTGTTTTCTTGGTGTTAGTTGCCAGGCCAAAATTAATACAAATTACAGAGAATCAATGCATACTCTGTTGCATCTCACCCTCAGAGGCTTCATGAGTGCATAATTATTTGCAGGGAAAAAAAGTCATGTACCAACTCTCCCTCCACTTTTGTCTTGGCTTTTGGCTTTTTCAAGTTAAATAATTTACCATTAGTGTGGTAGCTGACCTTGATGCCATTTTCTATCTTTTTGAAGCTGTCTGACAACATTGCACAAAACATCATGCTGAAAAGCATGGGAGCAAGCACGCAGGCCTGCTTCGCTCCACTGGTGACTGAAAAGCTTAAGAGCATTATCCTGTATTCAGAACCCATGCATGCATAACATCATGAAAGTGGCATACAATACTGATGAACTTCCCCAGGCAACCAGATTTCACCATGATCTTCCACAAGTCCTCACTACTGATAGTGTCAAAGGCTGTGGTCAGATTGACAAATATTCTGTGCAGAACTCTGCTCAGATCCTGGCATTTCTTCTAGAGGTGTCAAGCACCAATTACCATGTCAACTGTTCCTAGGCCCTTTTGGAAGCCACACTGACTCTCAGGTAGATGACCATCTTCAAAATGAAGGATCAGCTGATTAAGGGGAACTTTAACAAGAATCTTGCCAGAAGTGACTAAAAGAGAGAGCCCTCTATGATCGTCATTGTACAATCTGTTAACATTTCTTTATTGAGATGGACAATGAAGGCATCCTTGATCTTCTGGGTGATAACCTCCTCTAAACCAGAAGATTTCAGTCAGCTTCTGTATTACTGGTCCCCTTGCCTTGTAGAGCTCTACTGGAATGAAATAAACACCAGGTACTTTACCACATGATAGAGCTTAAAGGTATTCAATACCTCTTCATCAGTTGGAAATTCAGCTAGAGGGATTGACTTCAACCTGACATATATGATCCATGGCTTTAGCATTGGTTGATGATGGTCTGTTGAGAAAATTGTGGAAATATTCAGCCCATCTCTGCAGGATGATGACATTGTTACTGATCAATGTGCCTCTATCAGCTCTGAGTAGTTGAGATGCACTAGAAATACTTGGCCCATAAATGGCTTTCAGGGCATGGTTAAAACATTTTGGATTTTTACAATTAGTGTAAAATTGAGTTTCATTAGCCTTCTTTCTGAGCCAAGAATCCTGGATCTTTCCAAGCTTCACTTGCAACTTGAATGTGAATGTTTAGCTTGGAGAGGAAGAAAGAAAGACAGAAGGAAGAAAGGAAGGGAAAAAAATCAGTTAGGGTGGAAAGTAGGAAGAAGGACAGAAGGAATGAAGAAAATGTAAGTAAAAAGAAGGAACTTAAGAAGGAAGGCGGGAA